ACCATCCACCGATAGGCACGAGAAAGAGGTTACATGCACCAAATATCCAATAGACGGTCATATAGAAGAGGGTCAAAGATGTTCTCATTAAGCTTATCTGTGAGAAAACTCCTTAAGATGTGCTCCATATGTAGCTCTATTTCAAGAGGGATGGAGAACAAAATTCATGAACGTGACACCAAAATATTTTCTCACAAGTCTTGTTGTTCAGTGACGTCTAATTAATGCATACATGCATCATTATGTAGACAGGTGTGCTTAAATGTTGAAATATTTATATGTACACGTCATGTTATTTTCAATGCTGCAGATTTGTCAAACTTACCACTCTAGCATCTCATGGGCATGAGATTTGCCAATGTTTTTTTATCCATTACAGATGAAAGCTTGGGCAAAAGCACAGGATATTAACAGTTCGAAAGATCGAACGATGAACTCCTTATCCATAATATTATTGGTTGCATTCCATCTCCAGGTATGATTATTTTATCACGTCTCAGTGGTACTGGACAGTAGTGAAAAGGTCAAAAATTTAAACATCAAAATGCTTAGTATTAGTAGATTATGTACAGGACATCAAGGTCGATCGGTTAACAAGAATGGCTTAAGTTCTTAGACGGGGAGGCATTTATCTATCATAGATAGTGAATACTGTAGTTTCTGCTATTTTTTTTTTTGCTGTGTTCTTCAATTAGTTGTAAATTTTCTCACGCTTCAATGATTTTTTTTCTTTTTTTTCTTTTATACTTTCCTAAGCAGCTTTCTACTGTGTTCAGATTGAATGCTAGTCATAACACTTGAGTTCCTGGCTATTTTGTGAAAAATTGATATGGTTTTCCTTTTCTGTCAGCTCTCTTGCAGTACTCGTTATATCACACCTTGAAATTATTAACTACTAATTTTCCAGAACTGTTTACATTGCATGTTATTAGCAGAACTTTTTTTGCTAGTTGTCTACATGGAACTTGAATTTTGATTGTTGGTTATAAAAAGATGAACATCACCTTTACAGAGACATTGAAGTAGCAATAACAGAGCAAATAAGTTGTGTTGAACAATTTAGGAATCATAATTTCCACTTTACCAGGGATGAGTGACCTAGAAATGATGGTCATTGCTCAACACCTCTAGAATGTGCTGGTTGGTGGGTTGTCTATATTGGGAATGTGATGAGGAACGCATGCAACAGCTTTGACAAGGAAGCTTTATTTACAATTTTATAATTTTGCATCTTTAGTAGTTATATATATATATATATATATTTTTAAATTACAATTTAATTGAGAGTCTTGTTAATATTTGGTTTCTTATTTTCTTAGGATCCTAATTTCCTTTTCTGTTAGGGTTATTAGCTTATAAAGAAGTACGTTTGACATGGCATTATTCAGAGTTGATTAATAAAATTGAGAGTAAAGGTTTAGGGTTGTGTCCTTTGTGTTCTTCCTCTCACTTCTTTCTCCCTCTCCATTTTGCGTCTATTTGGTATCAGAGCCAACACAAACCTAAGAACACATTGCAACTGCCTAACTGCTTCACATCATTGTTACCCAAAGAGACCAACAGTTGCCAGCACATCATATTTTCTTCATTGGGATCCTTGCCTTTGCTATTTATCATTGTCTTTCCAGTTTGCAACATCTGCGCTAACACCCATTGAACAACTTCGGCAACATTGTTCGTCATTGAATTGTTGTTCCCAACCTACTGCAATTAGTTTGACCCATCCTTGTTTGATCTGAATTCTTCTACCAGTTCATAATCTTTGCACCATCATCTCTGGTCTCCACCTTTGTGATATTGATACTGTGCGGTATCACAGCTTCTTGTTGCCATTGCCTCAAATCACCGGAGCAGTCAATTGCAATCATTGCCCTTCACAACATAATCCCTAACAAAGTTTTGAATCCCTTCCACTCCGATTTGCCGATCGTGACGCATGGCGGCGATGGAGAAGGGGAGGCAGAAGAAGTCGGCGTCGGAGGGATTGGTGGTGAGGAAGTGGGACTTGGCGAGGGACTTTTTGAAGAAGGATTCGCTGGCGTAGTTGCCGCCTGGATCACTGGAGACTGAGAGGAGGACATTGGCGAAGGGGTGGGATTTGGGGATAAGGTAGACGAAGATTTTGCAGCTTTTGTTCATTTGGTTGTAGGGAAGAGAGAGAGAGAGAAAGAGAGAGAGAGAGTAAGTGAGAAGAGAGAGACCAAACTTAGAAAGATCAAACTTAGTTTTTGAAGAGATCGGGGGAGAGAGAGGTAGGAATTTCTCTGTCATATATGGGTGTGGGAGTTGAGGGATCTTAGACATTATTATAAAATAAAATTGTGTATCTCTTCCATTACTAAATATGGGAGAAGAACGAAAGACTAATTTTTCTTTTTTTTTAATTATCTCAAACTTTATCTACTTATCAATTTTAGAAAATACTATTTATTATTTTTCATTTGGCTTCCTTCGAGTTGCAGGTAATTCCATTTGGTTGCAGAATCCCAACAACCCCAACTATAACAACAACCCCCTTTTTTTTTTTTTTTTTTTTGGTAAACTCCGGGCCGAAGCCAAAACTAAGGAAGAACACTACGACAGGAACCAAGCCTCCACATATCTCTATCTAAAGCAGGAGCCAAAACAGAGGGCTCATCTAATAAATCTTCCCGGCTAACAGCCATACTAAGGGCCCCTTTCGCAAGTAAATCAACACAGACATTAGCTTCCCGCCCAATTTGTTGGAGGTCGCACTCCCAACTCCTTGCCATAAGCTCCCAAATTTCGTGTAATAAATTAAACTGAGGGTGCAGTGGGTTGGTTTTTCTCAAGGCTGAAACTGCTTCTGCTGAATCCGACTCAACGACGACCCGATGATGTCCTTCGTGCCAAGCTAACTGCAACCCGTGCCAGAGACCCCATAATTCAGCAGACACAATTGAGGAGTGGCCCACTCGCTGCTTAAAACCACATAACCACTGTCCTTGAGCATTGTGAAGCGGACCACCACATGCAGCCTTACCAGTGCGCCGACAGACTGCACCATCAACGTTGAGCTTTACCCATCCCAACGGGGGGTGCTGCCATACCACGTGGATGGTAGTTGCATCCTTCCTGGGCAAAGTCTTATTAGAAAGAAGCTGAAATTCCTTAACCCGACCATGGATAAGTTCCACCGGTTGAACGGGCTCCTGAAAAACACTATCATGAAGTTGTTGGTTACGCCAAAACCATAAGGATGAGATAGCAGCCATGAAAATTAGGGCCCAATTACGGCTGGTAACATCAATCCAAGGGGGTTTGCCCATATTCACATTAATCCAATCAGCTAACGGAAGAGAAAAGAACTGTAGCCAATGAGAATGAGGGATAAGCTTAGACCAAACGCGTTTCGATCGATGGCAATTTCGAAGTGCATGAAGTGTAGTCTCAGCATGGTGTAAACAAATACAATAGGATGAATCAACACTCAAATGTCGTTGATGCTTCATGGCATTGGTTAACAGGCGGTCCTGCCGTGCAAGCCAAGTGAAATGCTTCCATCTATTAGGCCCCACACTACACCAGATCTGCTTCCAGTCCTCTGAAAGACCATCCCGTGGGGGGTTATGCTGCTGAAAAAGAGAGTAGGTTGATTTAGTGGAAAAAGTTCCATTGGGGGAGTGCTTCTAACTTAAAAGGTCAGGATTTCCATCATCCGTTCGAACCATAACGGCACGCAAAGTATCTAAGTCTTCACTAGGGAGCCAACAAGCCAATCTGTTCCAATCCCAACCAGTTCCTTCAAGCCAATAGTCACAAATTTTGAGCAAAAGTTCAGGTGCTGGGAGGGGATAAAGAACACGCTGTTGAAAAAGGAAGTCACCCAACCACAAGTCTGTCCAAAAATGTATCAAACGGTCATTGCCCATACGCCAGCGAGATCCATCCCTTATCACAGAAGCTCCCTTGGTGATACTACGCCAAGTGTAAGATGAGTTGGTGGGGCAAGGATCCCACAACTTTCTCCTGTCTAGAAGATATTTACTGCGAAGAGCACTAGCCCAAGGTGTGGATTCGTGTAACACACGCAAACCCAACTTGGCCAACAAGGCATTATTGACATCCCTCATCTTGCGAAGACCCAAACCTCCATCTCCTTTAGGCTGACACACATCCTCCCAAGCCACAAGAGACATGCGCTGCTGCGCTTGATCACCACCCCAAAGAAATCGATGGTGACATTTGTCAATAGTTGAGCACACTGAACTAGGAAGATGTGTAGATTGCATAGCATAGGCAGGTATGGAGGAAGAGACCGATTGAATAAGAGTAGCTCGGCCAGCCAGAGATAGTTGACGAGCTTTCCACCCTGCTAATCTGTGCTGGACCCGATCAAGAATGTGATGATACGTGCCTTTTGACATGCGATTGTGTAACAAAGGGACGCCCAAATAGTTACCCAAGTGAGAGGCAATAGGGATGCCACTGTCCAAACTCAGATCCTGTCCAGTTTGTCGAGGAACAGCTGGAGGAAAGAAAATCCTAGATTTCTGGAAATTAATTCGTTGGCCCGAGGATGCACAAAAGGATTGCATGATATGCTTAATGACCGACATCTGCCTAGTAGAAGCCTCCCCAAATAGAAACATATCATCCGCAAAGAAAAGATGCGAAAAACTAGGCCCTTGCCGAGAAACCTTAACTGGTTTCCATTGCCGCTGGGTGACTGCCTCAGATATACTCCGCCCCATTTTTTCAAGGCAGAAGAGAAATAGGTAAGGTGAAAGGGGGTCCCCTTGACGTAAACCTCTAGAGGGTTGAAAGTATGGAGTAATCTCACCATTCCAGAGAATTGCAAGTTGAGTCGTAGACACACATTGTAGAATTATGGATGTCCAGGAAAGAGGAAAGTTCATTTCAGTTAACACCTATTCCAAGAAGCTCCATTCTATCCGGTCATATGCCTTTTCTAGGTCGACTTTTATGGCCAATGTACCGTGGGTATTTTTAGACTTCTTCATGGAGTGTAACAACTCTTAAACCAACACAATATTATCAGTTGCTTGCCTTCCTGGAATGAAGCTACCCTGAAAGGGGCTAATCAACTTGGTTAAAAGGGGCCACACTCTAATCACCAGAATTTTGGAGAGAATCCGCATAGTAACATTACTGAGGGAAATAGGTCGAAAGTGGGTCAAACTGGAGGGGTGATCAATTTTAGGGATAAGTGTAATCAAGGTTTTATTCAAATCCACAGGAATGTGCCCGGACTGGAACATATCCTGAATAACGGTGGTGAGAGCAGGCCCACAAGTATCCCAGAAACGTTGGTAAAAGAAAGGTTGAATCCCATCCGGTCCAGGGGCCTTAAAGGGGCCTAAAGAGAAAACTGCATTTTTAACCTCCATAAGGCTGATAGGGTGCACTAGCGCAGTCACCTCTTGCGGTGTTAAATAGGGCAATGACTGAGGTAGAGCAGAAACAGGACCCACAACTTCAGTCTTAAACAACTGTTGAAAATGCTGGACAGCTCTAGCTTGAAGCTCAATTTGGTTTGTGCACCAAGTACCATCATCATTTTTTAAAGCCATGATCCTATTGCGCTTGCGTCGAATAAGGGTCGAAGTATGAAAGAAACGAGTATTGGCGTCACCAAACATGAGCCAGTTGGATCTAGATTTCTGGTACCAAAGCATTTCCTCTTGCAACAATAGCTGATTATACTCAACGGTGAGGTGAGATTCAAGATCTTCACGGAAAGGATTGGAAGCCAAACTCAAAGCTTTTTGGATACCATGCAGTCTTGCTAACACGCGTTTTTTATTCCAAAAAATATTTCCAAACACCTCCCTGTTCCAAGTAGTAACGGCAACCACGAACTGTTCAATTGTAAGTGGCAAGTCTTTCTCACTAAAGTTCCATGATTGCTGCACAAGGGTTTCAAACATAGGGTGGGTTAACCACGCAGCCTCCATTCGAAACGGACGCCGCAAAGGGTGAGGGACAACCCCAAGAAGTGAAATAAGAATTGGACAGTGGTCAGAATTAACTCTGGGAAGATGTTGGACCCAAGCTTCAGGAAAAAGGGTATGCCACTGGTCATTACAGAGAGCTTTATCAAGTCGTTCTTTTATATTAGCTAGGCCATGGCGGCCATTAGTCCAAGTGAATTTGGGTCCCGAAAACCCCAAGTTAGTCAAATGGAATTCATCCATAACTTGGATGAATTGCGAGAGGCGTCGTTGGGTGGAGGGTGCACCTCCTTGCTTCTCAGCATTGGAACTTATTTCATTGAAGCTGCCCGCAATAAGCCAAGGAAGGGAAAGACCAGAAGCAAAATCCACCAGATAATGCCATAATGCCGAACGAGAAGTAAAGTTTGGACTAGCATACAAAGCTGTGAAGAGCCAATCTGCTTCATTCTGTCTCCGAATAATAACACTGAGAGCTTGGGGATTGGGAGGGAGAACTTCCACTTCCACTAAGTCAGCCCGCCAAAACAACCAAATGCCGCCAGCAAAACCCGTAGCTTCAACAGCTGCCATATCTGAAAGTCGGGTTCGGCGAATTATGCGTTTCGCTTTTTGGCTGGCAACACGAGTCTCAAGTAGGACCAAAATAACAGGGTCATAAGACCTAACAAGTTCGCAAATTGTTCTGAACGTGGCATCATTACCAGCTCCCCTACAATTCCAAACAAGAACCTTCATGGAGTTGGCCAAAAAAGGGAGGGCCAAAGGCCGTATCAAATATCCATCTCAATTGACCCAGGTGGATCAACCCTTGTTGCCGTAGCTACTACAACAGACCCCTGCACATCCAGAGTTGGGTAAGAAGCATCTCGGGATTGCACTATATTCTCATTAGAATACGCTGGGCAGCTTGCACCATCAGCTGGGTCACATCGATTAACGAGTAGTGAGTGACTAGGATTGGGCAAGATGTCTGGTGGTCGACCAGGAACGGTAGTGACCATCTGATCAAGAGGTAGGGAAGGAGTGAGAGGGCTAGGAGGTAGGGTGACAGGGTGGACTGCCAAAGAGTGGCCATCTTGACTCTCTCTCCTAGTTTCTGAACCTCCTGCCATGAAGGATCGGAGGGGGGGAAAGTCTTGTAAAGATATGGAAGGATTGAAGGGAGCTAAATGGGGGTGTGGCACGTGGGTGGTTGGTGGCTTTATGTGGACTAGAGGCAACCTGCAGAGGGGGGTCAGGTAATTTACGCCGTGGGCTTTTGAGGGAGAGGCTTTTTGGAGTGAGTTTGAGAGGTGAGAGGGATGGATCGGGAGGTTTGTCCAGCAGACGACCCAACAGTAACAGCACAACCCATAGAAAAAGGGCCCAACCCTATTGTATCCAAAGCAAGCGTTGGCCCAACTTGATCACTGAAGGCATTACCATGGGCATCCATTAGGGCTGAAAAACGATTACCCATATTACCACGTGGCACCACAGCCTTACCCTTCTGAATGGTTGAATATGCGCTGGTTGGACCCACTGTCCTCCTCCCACCATTACCAGAGAATGAAGGATTATCCATTTTGTCAAAACTCATACGACGCGTGCGGCCGACTGTACCCCGAGAACGTGATTGGGCAAGCGTCCAGGGTCCAAACTTCTGCCCTGACTCGACGCCGGTGTGCAAGGAGTCGACAGCCGGCGCCCCAGGCACAGTATCATTCCCAACTTCCGTCCCCATAGGTGGCATTAACGATGGACACCCATCTTGTTTGTGGCCATACTTCCCACATTCAAAGCAAATAAGGTGTAAACCTTCATATTCAACAGATTGTTGATACCCACCTTAGAAATCAGAGCATCCTTGAGGTTAAGCTCAACACAGACCCTAGCAAATCTCCCTCTCTATGCATCCGCTGTAAGCTTATCTGTTTTGATGGCTCGACCGACCAAACTACCTAATCGAAGTAATAGGTTTTCATTAAAGTATTCAATTGGCACTCCCGGAAATCGAATCCAAACCATGGTAGACGGTAGTTCATTGGCAAGTGGGCGAAAATCCAGGCGCCATTTATTGACGGTGAGATAATGCCCAAGAATAACCCATGGTCCATCCAACAGAACATGGACATAATCGGCCTTACATGTAAATCCCAGATAGTAGCCCTCGCCTACATCAACTACATCAATAGAGTGTTGAAGCTGCCAAATCTACTTCATCCTTTGTGTCAAGAGATGATATCTGACGGCATGCCCTAGGACCTTGACTATGAGCGCCTTACACCATGGAGCTCGAAGGGTTGACAGTTCTTCAGGTGGAACCGTGATTCTGGGGCAATCAGGGACCATCTGGGTGTCAGCCGCCTCGTGTAAGGTAGTTTCCTCATCGTCAATGTCACCCTGGTACCAGAGCTTGGTGTTATCGCTAGTGAAGGCCTCCATGAAAAACGAACCAGGCAACCTCGAAGAGGTGTGAGATACCTCACGAGCTTCCCCAAAGTCCATGCCAAAGGAACCACTTCCATCGTCATCAATCTCCTCCAGCGACCCGTCCTCCCGTCGTCGCTTGATTTTCTTGGTGCTCCACCGGAGCAAATCTGTTTCCTCTGAAGAGATGGGTTTCCCCTCTCTTTCTCGCTCTAGCTCCATTTCTAATAGTAATTTTACACATAATATATATTTTATGCTTGTTCTTAATGCATTAAAGTGTTATTATGAGGGCTAATAATCATATGTGTTGGGACTTTTCAAGAAATTCATGTGTTGGATTTCAAAGAATTTTTTTTATGTTTGTTTTTAATACATTAAAGTGTTATTATGAGGGTAGGACTTGGGAGTTGGGACAAGTTAATAAATGCTAAGGTTTTTTTTAAAAAAAATCAGAAAAATCAGATTGGGAGATTGGAGTTCCCACAAGACTTGGGGTTAAAAACCCCCCTTTTGCTTAATATATAGTATAGATGAGCATAAGATTCACTTTATGTAAGTGAAACAATTCACATTTCTTTCTTTTCCTGATGTGGGATTGTAAAATAAAATATAAATGGAAGCTAGCCAATAAGAATTTTCATAATTATTTAAAATTGAAAAAAATTCAATAATTTTAGAATAATGGTTTGGAGTTCCTAGAATGTTTTTCCATAAAAACTTCATTTTTCTTATATAGATAGATAGATAGTGAAACAAACTTTACTTTTTCTTCTTCTCATGATATAGGATTATAAAATAAATCATAAACTAATTAGAATTTTATTTTTATATGGTTAAATGGAAGTTAGCCAATGAAATTTTTTTAATTGTTTAAAATTAATAAAATCAGTATGAGAAATCGCGATTAAATCGATAAATCGGTCAAATCCAAAATGGTTCAGTCTAATCGGTTAGGTCAAATGACCAACTAAGTTATACAAAAATTAATTAATTAAAAATTTTAAATGTAATTTTCATTTTAAAATTTAAATTGTTTTGAATTGAAATATACACAATACCACACTATTAAGATTTACTTTATATAAGTGAAACAACTCACTTTTTTTCTTTTTTTTCTTTTTTCGATGTGGGATTATAAAATAAAAATTAACAATTATTTGGACGAACAGTTTATTTCTAATCAAGTAATCTTAGTCTTTCAATCGTTAATCAGATTAATCTTTAGTTTATTTTGAATCAAATAAATCTGATCAATATATTTTGATAAAATCATTAAAATCACGATTAAACCAACAAATAAATCAAATCAAAAATGATTAGGCATAATCGGCTTTCAAAATTTAAATTATATTAAATTAAAACATGCACTACACTATAATATTAAATGGGATAGGCGTATAAGATTCAATTTATATGAGTAAAATTACTCATTTTTTCCTTTCTTTTACTGATATGGGATTATTAAATAAAAGCTAGTCAATAGAGATTTTCTTAATTGTTTAAAATTAAGAAAATCAATAAAATTAGTATGAGATATTGAAACTCTCACAAGGCTCCTCACTAAATGGGATGAAAGTATAATACTGCCTTTCTATGAGTAAAACAATTCATTTTTTTCTTCTTTTCCTGATGTGGGATTATCAAATAAAAGCTAATCAATGGAGATTTTCTTAATTGTTTAAAATTAAAAAAATCAATAAAATTTGTATGAGATATTGATGGTGTGTTTGGTTTGGTTTTGGAAGATAAATTTTCAAAAAAAAAAAAAATTAAAGAAAGAGTTTAGAAATTTTTTTGGTTTGTTTGGTTGTATATTTTGGAAATAGTTTTGGAGTATGAAAGTTTGAGATGATTTGATATTTTGTTATAGTTGAGTAAATTTGTATGAGAGAAAAAGTGATTGAAAAAGATATAGAAGAGAGAAAAAGTGATTGATTGATATGTAGGAGAGATAAAGTGATTTTGAATTTTTTTTTTTTTCAAAATCACTAAACCAAACAAAATTTTGAAAATTTTTCTTCAAAATTACTCTTTCAAAAGCAAACCAAACAAGGCCTAAAACTCTTACAAGACTCCTCACTAAAAATACCATTTTCCTTATATAATATACAAATAGATAGATAGATTGGCTTGTTTTGACAACTCGATTAAAAGTTGTTTCTAAAACTTTTAAATTTTTTTAAATTACAATACCTCTCTATTTTTTTACACATTCTTTTTTTAAAAAAATAAATAAATAAAAAAATCAATTTTTAGGCTTCATTTGGGAAGAAGGGTTGGGTTAGGTTTGGAGCTATTTTAGCCACAAAAAGATTTTAACTCAATTAGACAAAACATCACATCTAACCCATATTCATTATATTTTTTCTATCACAAAAAATCAAAAAAATAAAAAAAAAATTCTCAAACAAAACTTTTTAACCCCACATTAAAATAACTAAAAAATTAAAAAATCAATCCACCCTCAAAACCAACCCTCAAAACAAACCATTCTGCAATATGTACACGTAAGAAATCATAGGACATGTCCAAATAAAAATCTTATGATACTTTCACTGAACTTAAAATTTTGAAAAATAGTTTAGAGCACCAAAAGAGCATTAATTTATTTATTTTTTTTTTTTTTAAGACCTCATTGAGAACAGATTTTTTAATAATTTTTTAACTTTTTAGTTAAAATATGATATAAAAAAATTAATACGTTTAGGATAACTTTTTATTTTTTTACAAAAACATTTATAAAAAATAGAGAGAAAAAATAATCTTTAATTTTTTAGTATAAATTATTAACATTTTAAAATTTTAATAATTTTTTAACTAAAAAATCGCTTATCAAGTGAGGCCTTAATATACTACAAGAGCAGCTCTACCAATAGTTTGTATCATATCTACAAAATTTTTTACTAGTAGATAAGACTGCCAAGTTGTTGGCTGTCTCAACCCGATTTGATAAGAGTACAAGTTTGTCTGTTTGTTTATTTATTTTTTAGTTTAAATTTGAAATTTTTAGAACAATAATCTAAAATTTTAGCTGTTTTTAATTTACCTTTAGAATCATAATTTTAAATGTAAAATTTTCAATTTTAAAATTTGGGAGACTTATTTATAAGTCCTATTTCGGACACTTATGCTATGTTAAGTCCTGTGTAATTTTTTATAGACTCTCAAGTCCTATTTAGATAGGAATATATTCCACAAGATCCTATGAGTTGTAAATAAATAGTATTAATATACAATTATACACTATAATGGCAAAACCATATATTGAAAATTGAATGTTACCATAGAAAGTAACATTTTCACATTCAATTAAAAAAATCAAA